TTAGAACATGATGGTGTGCCTTTAAGATTAGATCTGAAATTGAACTATCTCTTATATGTAATTGTTCACAATAATAGCATTAAATGGAGTTCCTATAACACTTTAATATCGTCTTGTGGTTGCTTAAGATATACTCTTTTTTCTTGGGGGAGGAATGGGTTGGATGATTCGGGAGGAAGAAGTATAAGTAAAAGGTTTCAAGTTTAAATTTTTCCACCTACATTTTTAAAAAAAATAAAAATATGTATACTTTTTCTTAAATATACTTATTAAAAATTTATACTTTCACTTTTTGTGTATTTCAACTGTGTTTCTTCTTGCTAATGGATATGCTTATTTGCAAGATATTATGAATGCATTGCCAACTATACCACCACTGAAGCCCAAGTATCAATTGAGACCAACAAGTGAGATGCATTTTAACACCTTTGACACCTAAAAATCATGTAGACTTGTTTGTCATGCCACTGGATTAGAATTATGTCATAGTGATTTTGCTTGCAAGTGGTGGTGTTAATGCCCTTTCTACAGATGATGGCTTTAAGGATTTTGCTGTTAGTAATCCTACTATTGGAGTCTCAGTGGTTCTGATTCGTTGTGTATTGAGATATGTAAGCGATTTATTGCAAAATATGTATGGTAAAAAAAACACATAATTGACTTCATTTATTTGACATGCTTTTTTTAATTTTAATTACTTTACATAAGAACTATTTACATGAAATTATAAAGTATTAGATACAAAATAAATTATTTCTTCTTTTTTTTTTTGTGATAGGCAAATCAATCCACCTTACTATGCTGGAAGTCATTCTGGGAGTCATTTTGAAAACAAAAATGGATTATGTCAGAGATTATTATTCGAGGAAAAAGCTTTAGTAAGACCTCCTATGATTTGTATACAAGTTAATATACGAATAGTATTATACTTAATTTTTTTGGTACATTTTTAACCCTCTTTTTTGTGAGGAGTTTTATAGCCCCTTTAGAGTACCATACCCATGAGTTTAATTTTACTGTTAGAAGTATAAAAGAGAGCTATCACCCCTTCAATGATAATTAAGCATTTAAATTACCAAAGAATGTAGCTAGGGCTATTTTTTTTTTTTCTACTTCATGTATTAGTTATAGATATATGCTAGGGTGAGGGCAAAGGAACGACCCAAAAGGATCAATGGGAAGTTATCGTGTTGACAAAAGACAAATGTTAGTTATAGCTTACTTGGTCATCTCTACCTTTAGTTTTATAAACAAACTAGTTTTATACCTGTTCGTTGAACGGGAATCGTCGAAAAAAAAACTATTTAGTCAATTTTATAAAAATGTCGATATAAAATACAAATTTAATGTATAATCTATTAAAACTTGTCTTAAGTATATTACTATGTGCGCATTGTAATATAAAGTATTCTTATAATATAAATTTGAACATCTAATTCAGTGAATAATAATTCAAAAATGGAAAAAATAACATTCAACAATACCATAACATTCAAAAACTTGAAAATAAATAAAAAGTACGGTAAATAGTATCAAATAATATTCTATTCTTCATAAACTTGTTTTTGTTTTTCTTCTGTTTGAACATTCTCTTCGATTTGTCCATGCAACTCAGCATTTATTGATTTTTCATTATCACTGCGTGATAGCAAAGCAGGATAACTAAATATAAAAATAAATAAATGATTTATCGCATTCAAGGTTGTGTTCTATTATTCTTTCAGTTTCTTGATCAAATATAACAAACCAAGCACTATTGGTTGCATCACTTGCCAAGACTTTTAACATATACCTGTATAAATACACATGTTGTGACGGCCCCACCTCCCCCTAAGGCGAACCAAAGAGTTCGGCGAACCGCCTGCCCAACTCTCGTCGGGACTCAGTCATTCACTACAGTCCTCAATTGAATCACAATATATATCTCAAATATATATCAAATGTTCCACAAATTCACATACACTACAAACTAAAACCTCAGGAGATACAAGAAATATTAATCTTCCGAATAAGACAAAGGTCCTCAGTTCTCACATAAGTACAAGTACAAGCGCAATCTCAAATATTACACAAGATAAAACTAGAACTCCAACTGTACAGTAGATCATCCATCCATTCACACGGAGAACTTTAATACAAATGCTTCCTTCACCTCAAGCCCTGTGGAGGGGAATAAAATAGTTTTGGGGTGAGCTAGAAGCTCAGCGAGTAACCAGTAAAATCAGTAATCAAATCAGTTTCTCAATAGTTCATTTCAATAATGTCATGATTCAGTAATCAAATGTACATTTATTGCTCTCGTGAGCCAATGAAATCATTGTACTTAAACATCCAACGCTCAAATAGATCCGTTAACAGTAAAATAGTGATAGGGAGCCTTTGGTGCTCCAGATGAACAGTAAACAGTGGTGGAGATGTTGGTTCTAAGCACAAGACTTCCCAAGAACTCATTGAAGCCAAATCATATCATGAACTCACATGCAAGCACACATGATATGCAATCGAGTAAATAATACAAGAAACAGTTCATAAGTAGCTTTGGAAACAGTTTGGGGTCACTCACCAACCACGGCTCAGGAACCTCTTCTACTATAGACAATTTCGTGGATCGAACTCAAGCCCTTCAGCTCAAATTCAAAGCAACCAAACACTCTCAAAGATCGGACAGCATTTCCCCTTAAATTCTTCATTTCCATCCTACAATCAAATACCCAATCTTACGAGAATCAATCACAATCACACATTCGGTTTATAAACAATAAAGCACGTCCAATTAGGCCACAATACCCTTCAATCAAAGCCAATTAGAAACTCAAAAGCCAACCATTAGAAAACCCCCAAATTAAACCCTAGAAAGCGGAATTTCCGTACAAACCAGAAATTTTTCGCAAACGATCACAATTAACGCACAAAAGCTCCATTTAACACCATTTAGAGCTATCAATCCAAGACCAATTCATGATTATAATATAAAATCAGAAAAATACCCAATAAATCAGAAATTGGACCAACTTGATTTAAAACCATGAAATCATCCACAATATAGCATATTTAACCACTATAAACCGCTAATATACTATTATTAAAATAAAAGGGAACTTTCTTAACAACTCACCTCAAATTCAAGAAAGCTAACACCTTAAAGCTTCCCCTTCCAAAACAACTCCATCAACCTCTTCAAACTTCCATAGTGAGCCCTTGTATGGAGTATTTTCCAAAATCATTGGTGAAATCTCAAGATTTTGGCAAAGATTAAAACTAGGAAAATTGAGAGCTTTTCTCTCTATGATGCACGGATAGGCCAAGTGAAGAAATGAAAATATTTTGGGCCAAAAACAATATAAGAAGGAAGAAAATCAGCTGGTCAAAATTGATGACCGACATGCCACGTCACAATCCAGTCAGAATCTGGCCGGATTCAAGGCAGTGGCAAAAATCATTTTTTTCAAAACTCCAAGGCAATCTGGCCAGGTATCCGGCCAGAAACTAGCCGGATTTGCCAAAAACAAAGCTGACCAGACTTTTTTTTTCTTTTTTTTTTCTTTTCTTCTTCCGGGCGTCACACATATTCTAAAAGTTATGTTTATGTAGATATTGTAGCAATTAAAATGATAAAAAGGTAAACACCTACGACATACCTCAATTTAGGATACTCCATATTTTGATTGCAATCATTACACAATTTAGGATACTCCATATTTTTCTTACAATACAGGGCCTTGGATGTCGACTACTGACAACATTTGAGAATACTCCTTGGATGTTGACTACTGACAGCATTGATAGTGGTAGCTAATATTCTGAATGTAGATAGAATTTGCTTCTAAACTTCTTGATTATGGGAGCAAGGAATTGATATATTCTGCAAAGCACTTTCATGGCGCTATTTATGAAGCATAGACTATAAGTGTATATAGCCAATAGTTGTCAGAAGTTCATGTTGTTTAAGTGATCAGGTTCTTGACCTCTCTTCTATTTAAACTATGTTGGTAAGACATAAAGCTGGATACTTTTTAAAAAATCCTTGTGAAACCATTCTCAAGTGGATTAATTAAGTAAACGGCCAGAGTCTTGTAATTAATTAATGAATTTGTAGATATTTCTAATAGAGATATTTAAGTCTCTTGTATTTATATCGCATTACTTTTCGGTGCCTTTTGTTTTTGGTTGTTTTTCCTAAAAACAAATTAACAAGCATCTTAGCATATGATCACAAAAATCAATTAACAAACATGTTAGCAAGAATCTTACAAAAATAATGATGAAAGTACTTGTTTAAATCCTATATCTTCATACAAAACAAACAGAAAATAAAACGAAAAAAATAAAATTCAAGATATGTTATTAAACTCTTACAATTGAAGATCAACATGCCTTTTTAAAAAATATATATATTGAAAGAAGATGTACCTGATAATCAAGAGGAGTGAAAACCCAAAATCGATACTTTAATGTACCAACCGTTTGCACTGAAAATACCTAACCATGAATATGATGCTTGAAATCAATATATTAGAGGTTATATATAGTGTAGGCATAAGAAATAAGAATTGGTAAAGATATAAAGAGATATTGATAAGAATATTAAAAGTAAGTTTATCTTGATTTAAGTTGCTTAAAGTACATAAGTTTGAATAGAAAATAAGAATCCTATAATATTAAAAATTCTTATAGGAAATAAAAATTGATATTAATCCAAGCAAAAAAGAAGTAAGTCACGTTGGAAATTACTTGACGTCTCGTTAAGCCACGTAGAAAAGAGAAAACATGAAGAGATAAGAATGAAAATACAACTTTATTATATATATATATATATATATATACATACGATTTCAAAATACGAACAGATTTTGTTGTTCCATCAGCATCAGGATTTAAAAGATGGACCAAACCTTCTCCAAATTAATTCACTTGAGACAAATGGGCTTTAAAACTGGTTTGTTTTATATTCTTTTACAATAAACTTTAAATAAGACATAACAACCCAGTAAGAACATTGGTAAGTTATAAACGTGTCGTTCAGATTCATAATTGATGAATTTAGAATTTTAAAGCTGCCAAACTAAAATATTCATGGGTGGATTTACAGTTTCAAAAAAGTTAGAGGTTATTATACAATATCTCAAAAGTTTAAAGCATAAAAGCCATCAAACAATTACAACAAATTCCTACTCCTGTTAGCAATTGCCTTTTGAGTAAACTTGTGGGGCTACTTTAGATTCTGTGTAAGTGTTTCTTTGTGCTGTTGAAAGAAAAAAAAATTCCTCCTCCTGCTTCTTCTCCTGTCCTCTTCCCCTGAACACCATTTCCTTCTTTCCTTCCGTCTATTGCTTCACCACTTCAGTTGACTCATCCTTGTTTCCTTCATCGACTTCTCCTCCTTTCTTTGATCAATGTTTTCTTTCCTCGCGACGAACGCACTCAGAACCTTGCATATTTTCTTCATTGTGTTCTCGTTCTCTTCCCAGCCATTCTTTCTTTTTTGCTTTTCTGTTTTCATTTTGATTTCAGGCCTTTTAAGTTTCAACAAAGGCAAGCAGCAGCAGCCATGGAATAATCACACGATGCAATAAATCTGCAAAGAAAATATGCAAATAGAAAAAGATCATTTGGCAGAAGAAAACTCATGTGAAATGGCTCAAGGAAGGAGATAAGAAAAACTCAAATCTTTTCATGTTATGGTTTCAGCTAAAAGAATAAAAACCCTCCAGAAAAATTTGAATTTGGCAGAGAAATCCAGAGTTTCAACAAGACAGTCAACCGGTTCCGGTCAAACTGGCCAGTCTGATTTGAGATTTAAAGCACTGACTGAAGGACAGCAACCAAACTTTAAACAGTCAAAGACCATACAATGACCTTTCTCGCAACATGCTTCACTGCTCAGTATTTTGAGGCCCAAAATTATATATAGTGAAAACTCACTTTCGTTTCCCAAAGAGGCAAGCTGTACAATTTAAACGAAGATGTCACGATAAGCATCAGAAAACTATGTCATGCACCAAAAAGATCAGGAGGAAACTTTTGCTCCAGCCTATTTAAAGTCCATGTTGACATCCATCTGGGAGCATACAGGAAAATTAACTTCTATTGCAATTGGTCACTGCCTGATCAGTTATCAATTACAAAGATAAAATAAGGAAGCAAGAAAGCAAAATAAATCACATTAGTCATAATTTCGTACATGATAAGTGATCATAACGTCCACCAAGTATAAGCAAGATCTCTTCCATTTAAGATCCAAGATTCTTCCTCAGGTATAACAAAATTCAGGACAAGATACAAGTTGAAGCTCAGGTGAGTGGCCAATTCTATGACTATGGCAAAGGTTAGGACCATGAAATATACTAAGGCACATTGTTCAAAGATATACTTTCAAATCACATCGTGTCTTTGGCCATTTAACAGTTGATTCTCTTTCACAATTGAATTTGAAAACAATAATGTTAATCTTGCCAATCATATAATTTTTTTTCATCTTTAAAAAGATGAAGTCACTTGCAACCCCTTGCTGAACTGAACTTCAGTATTCTAGGTCGAAACACAGACAGCAAAGGAGCAAGAAACTGATTATATGAAAGGAAGCATGAATCCAAGAACTTGAAATTATCAATAGCACAGACCTGTGACCCCATTTTACAACTCCAAAAGTGTATAGGTAGGTCGAAACACAGACCTGTAAGGAAAATTTTTGTCCAGTTGTTTCATGATCTTTTTTTTTTTTTTTTTTGGATTTATAGAATTCCAGCTACAGCATTTGGGAAATAATAACAGTAATATTCAACATAGAACATGTAGCATTTAGCAGAAACTGTCTCTAAAATCAATTTGCTATCTAGTTACTTTTTTATGAGAATACAATAAACTTCCACAATAGCATTTCGAGAAATAAAAAATATGGTTGCAATTGTAGTCCTTCTATTTTTCATTTTGTTTACTTTTTCTCTTATAACATAAAGACGCCATAATCTTCTAAGTACGAATCGCATTCCATGAATTTTCTCTTATAATTTTTTTCTTATGTTTTCAACTTGCGATTTTAAGAATTTTCATTCTTTCCAAATGGTTGAATGCTGAAGCAGAAGGTTTTTGTGCTGGCACACCAAGGACCATTTTTTTTGGTAAGTTGGAGGTCTTGAACTCAAGACCTCCTACTTACACTTCCTCCCCCCTTTCCACCCAACCTAGGACCAATCTTGAACATTCAGAAGTTGACAGTAGATGTAAATTTTTGTCATTAGTTTGACAGAAAGCTGATAGGAAGTTAATGCTTATTCATGTGACTCCAGACTATGGGAAAGAGGCCATCATTAAATTGGCTCTAAGACTGATTATTGTCAGATAAACCACTGATCTGACAAGGTTACCATTCATTTTTTAAATTTTGTTTTGGAATTGTAATAGTTTGAGAATTCCTAAAAGCGAGAGAGCATAACTTGGCCAATACCTCCATTTGAGTCAAAAAGGATGTAACACTCTTTTTGTCCAATTTCATTGGCTAGGAATCTAATCATCACCAAAAGACAACAATTCACAATCCCAGGCTTGGCATAAAGTTTTCAGTTTTGAGAAATTTAATTACTCTTCTTAAGCTCACCTACTTAGCCAACAGTGAAATCTCTAGTTAAGTATTCAGGTTACTCTCCCAAGCCGCATATATTGGTCAATGAAATGCGGCCTAAATGATTAGAATGGTGGAATGCAACACAGAGGTGGTACAGAAATAATATATAGTGGCATGGAATCTTTATGTCAGAATTGTATTACTGTGGCAAGGAGGTAATGTTAAACTGACTAGGAAAGAGATTAACGTGAAATGACACACTTCCCTGACAAGATTGCCATAATTTTCAATCTAGTTTTTGAAGGAATTCTCTAGAAGTGAAGCAAAGTTTGGACAAAACTCAAAAGATCCTTTCTCAATCAAGGTATCAAGACCTCGTGAACATTCTCAGCCAATTAGTAACTGTCCCTTCTTTTGCCATATCACATGGAATAACAATAATTTTCTTATTTTTTATTCATTTATTCATTTTTTTTTGGATGGGGTAGGGTGGGGGAATTAATGGCTGGAATATACCACATCTCAGACATACATCATCCACGTACCTGAAAAAACATATTGCAGTGATAAATTCCCAGTTGGATGCATAAGTGCGTCCACAGAAATACGTCCATCAAGCCTCCAAACTCTTAAATGGTTATTGAGCTCTGAAAATTCATTGTGTCTTGTGAGTGAATTTATCTGCAATTATGGTAACCAAATGCAAGAAATGTTTCAACTTACATGATTAGACATAATTACATCATAAGAATCACTTACAACATACCAGCACGAATGGTGCCCCTTAGCCTAAGAAGGGGCTGATCTACAAGACTGAAACAGTACACAATCTATCTACAACAACTTCAGCAAGATAAAGTTTTAGGAGAGAAGGCCAGTTAGAAACTAGTTCAGACTGAATTGCAAGAATGATACTGATGTTATTCAGATTATAACAAAATCAATTCTTCAAGAACAAAATAAGCAGCAAATTAGCACCTACGTTACTTGGACTCAGGTATGGGAGTTGGGTACAGCAATGTGTCTAGCGTCCTATATACATTAATTTTCTATAACTAAGATATGGCAAAACACCTCTAAAGACTTGGACATGAGTACAGGGGGCTGTCCTGTCTCCTCTTTTGTAAGGAGCATATTAAGAAAATATGACAATATAAACCCACTTAAACTATTTTGTACCACATGTTTAAATGGAAAATATCTATTTAAACATGTATTTGTGTTTAAATAATTCCTCAGTGTTGCACGGGAAAAGAAGATGTAAAAGAAGCAAAGAAAATACACATCATATTTAGAATAAAAATCTAGCTCATGCACTCCTAGCAGTTTTAACCATGATATAAACCTTGGACCTTTTTCTTCCTCCTCTGTTTTTCTTCTTGTGTTCATTGACTTTGAGGAGTCCAAAACTTCAAAAGAAGTGTCACACACAGATCACATACCAGAGTGCCAATGTCATATCATGTCTGATAAGGGTATGGTTGGGAGGAGAAGACTCTTAGTAAGAAACTTTAGCATCCTGATAAATCTTATAACTGCACAGAGGTATGTTAACTGCAGCTATTAAGTAGATCCATGAAAATTTCACTGGTCTAGCTCTAAACTTCCAAAACAACCCTGAAAGAGAACTATGGGCGTGGGTCTGCCTACCATCCAGGCCTAGACCCAGACCCAGATCCAAACCCAAACCCAGACCATGCCCAAAACCTTTCATAGTCTATAACCATACACAAAAACATGTATACATATCTTTGCTGTTACCTTACTATTGCAAAATAGGAGAAAACTTTCATCTATAACTTCAGTGATACAACATTAAAAAATATGCTTTTTCCTTATCTTTCACAACTAAAGACATCCTCTTTTGAACAAATGATTATAAATATAACAGTTGTCTTGCTAAAAAAATTAAAAAAAAATTCAAGAACACAGAAAGTGGTATTCCATTTGAAACAAGATAATATATTTGAGATGCGAAATGAATTTGAGAAAATGAGGTTCAGATGTTTAAAATACCTGTTGAATCTGTCCTCTCAACCCATCTAGGCTTTCTTTCAGAAGATCAAGGACGCAAAGGTCCTAATGGAGAGAGAAGCTTCACACTGAAAAGAGTAGAGAAAATAAGAATATTTTATATCCACCATAGTTCAGATTTGACATATGGAGCAGAGTTTTGTCTTCTTGAGAAGCCAAATGAAGAAAGTCTCATAAAGGTAGCTTAAAGCCCATACCTTAACCACTTTCTGTCGATGCTCTGGCTTGAATTGCTTCTAACAGATCTCTGTGGTACAAATGAATATCACAATTCTGAAGGGAAAAAGATTGAACAAAGAAAATGGAATCTTAAACTCAGCATTCTAGCATTTATAAGACAGACTTTAACAAAAAAGCAATGAATCTCATCATGCTTAGTGCCTCAAAAAGGAATCCTCTTTGAGCAACAGGTTCATATGAGGACGACTTATTCAACTCATTCACTTTGTTAACAGGCTCAATGTTTTCTGGAAAAATTTCTCATTGTCATTCAGTTTTTCTCTTTGGCACATTAGGCAAATTATACTTTCAATTCCTTATTCATTACAGCTCATGTAACTTCATATAAAAGACAACAGCCAGAAGTAGAAAATTGAAAGACTAGCTCTGAGAAAAAGAAAAGGTGCAACTTTCAAATTATAACACTGCTGAAGATTAAAATACAGAAGGAAATTACTTTCAATGTTGCATAGGTTAAGGGGAAGACTAACATGACAGAAGACAGATATTAAGTTCGAACATCCAGAACCCCCACTCCAACCTTATCCCCCAAAAAAAAGGGCGAAGAAAATCTAGACCTCTCTCATCTGTAATAGTGTTGTTTTTTGATTGCCCCTAAGCATGTGTTGGTGTGGGATTTCCTAGAAGAGAAGTATAACCTTCGGCACTATCCCATTTGAAATGTAAAAGTAAGAAGAATCAAGCTTGTTTTCAGGCCCAAAAATATCAAATGAGCTTCCATCCATAGAGCTCAAATTGAAGCTCATGATGGTCTTTCAGCCATGGTTTGCATCACCAAAGGAAACATCAACTCCTGTTTCAAACCATGCCTGAAATATTAAGTAGATTGATCACTACTAAAACAGTCAAACACAACAAAGATACTTCAGAACTTGATAAATTTGATTCATTAAAAAATTTTTAAATATAATGTGTACTATAGCCTCCTACATATTACAGAAAAGAACACTTCATAAACAGGAAACATGATGCAATGGAAACATCAAACTGAAAGCAACTACCTGGTAGGAAAGCACAACATGTTGATGCTGCAACCATGATGGTGTAGCAACTTCCCTGACGGTTCACTTGCCTCCCCTCTGTTGAACAAAAATCTTACGTAAAATAGTAAGTGACTACTTGCCTCTCCTTCATTGAAAGAATTTGCTTATCCTGAATTACTGGGCTGCTCCATTGAACTTTGACGAGGCAAATCAGAAGTCTCAGTCAATCAAGGTATTATCTTAAGAAGCGCAATTGGAAATATTCCTTCACATATAAAATTGAGGACTCTTCCAACATATGTGAGATATACTACGTGTAACTCTAACCAGTACAGTAAAAGAATTCGTCTAAGAGGTACAGAATCACCATTCTATGTGCCCTATGTTCTCTCAAGAAGACCCTCTATTAACATTGAATCTGTTTGGGGATTTAACTGGCAATTATTTTTCTTCATGATGTCCAGCAGTTCAGAGCAACTGTCAACAAGCCCCCTCTTAAGTAAGCCATCAATTAAAAGTTTCCAAGCTACTTCATCATGATTGTAGCCACACTCTAGCAGCCAACAGAATACTGCTTTCGCTATGTCACTATTGCCTTGATCATATAACCCACAAACAAGCAATTTGAAGGACTCCAAGTGTGGTATTAAACCATGCTTGACCATGTTACCAAGAATCTGCAGGGCTTTCTCATGCACTTTCAACTTGCAGCAACAGTTTATCAACAAATCATACATATCTTCTGTAGGAGACAAACCATGCTTATGCATATAATCAAACAATTTCCAAGCTTCTTCAATTCTTCCTTCTCTGCAAAGTCCGGTAGCAAGTGCACTGTACGTGTTCAAATTAGGTGCATAACCATATTCAGTCATTTTCTCAAAAAGCATCAGAGCAGTACCAAAATCCATCACTTTCCATACATCAGCAATGTTTATTAAAGGAACCCCACCTTTCAGATCAAGTCTGACTTCAGTTACATTTCCTTTAGCATGCTTTTCACGTGAAAGATGTTTAACTAATACAGCATAGGTATACTGAGAAGGTGCACATCCAGCATCAACCATACGTCTAAGGGTATCAAATGCGCAGTCTATCATTCCTAAACGTCCATACCCATCCATTAATGCAGTGTAGGTCATAAAATCTGGCCTAATGCCTTCTTCTTTCATTCTAGTCATCACATTCTCTGCTTCATTCAACTGCCCTTGGTTGCAATATGCAAGAAGAAAGGAAGTGTAAGTGCAAACATCAGGTTTATATCCTAGAGAAACCATTTTATCAAGCATTGCATAGGCATAACCAAAGGCATATTCTTTTAGCATTTTCTCAATAAGAATAGAACAAGTAACAACATCGGGTTTCACACCTCTCTCCAACATCCTTTCCAATAATTCAGAAGCTTCATGCATTTTGCCCTCTTTGCACAACCCACTAACCAGCACATTATAAGTGCAGGAGCTCGGAATGCAGCCTTCCCCAAGCATCCTTTCAAACAAATTAAAAGCAATACCCATGTTGGCTGCCCTACAATATCCATCGATCAAAGCAGTATACATCACTTCATTTGCCTCCAGGCCTTTGTCTTTGACAGAATCAAGCAACGCATTAGCTTCTTTAACCCTGCCTTTTTTGCATAATGCATCAATTAGAGGACCATAAGTCCACTTGTCAGGTGCTACATTACTCTCTTCCATCAACCTAAGCAATCTAAACGCATTATCAACATGACCCTCTTTACATTGTCCATGGACTAACAAGTTGTAAGTTACAACAGTTGGAGCTAGCTTTCTTTCAAGCATGTTATTAAGTAATGCCATGGCCTTGTGCACTTTTTTTGCCTTACAAAATCCAGAAATCAATTCATTGTATGTTCGGGCATTAGGACTGCATTTATTAGATTCCATCACTTCCAATATCTTGAAGGCAGCATCCACCATTTCTTTCATACAGTAACCATTAACCAGAGCGTTATAAGTAATTATGGTAGGAACAAATCCCTTTTCTGACATCAGAATCATCAACCTCGACGCTTCATCAAGTTTACCATCTTTACACATGCCATCAATGAGAACAGTGTAAGTATGAACATTGGGCTCGCAACCTTTCTCCTTCATCTCATCAAATAACTTCAAGGCTTCCATTGTCCTACTTAAACCACACAATGCATCAATAAGTACCGTATAGGTCCTAACATTAGGACAACAATAGTCCTCCCTCATTTTCTTAAACAACTGCATCCCCTCATCTAACTTCCCCACCTCACACAACCCATAAATTAAATTGTTATATGTAACCTCATTTCTCCGACAACCCTTCTTAACCATCTCCTTGAACACCCTAAAAGCACTATCTACATCCTTTTTCCTACAATGCCCCAAAATAAATGACGTAAACGTGTGAGTATCAGGACTCAACCCAGCTTGCAAAATTTTACTCAAGTACAACTCAGCCTCATCCACATTCCCCAACTTACAATATGCGTTAATCATGGTATTAAAAGTATAAATATTTGGTGAAATCTTGTCATTCAACATCTCAACATACACACATTTCATATCATCAATCATAAGAAACCTTGCCAACATCATCAACATAGTATTGTAACACCTTAGACTAATCTTAAAAAGCAACCCACTATCATGATGAGTTTTACTATTATTCATATCCCTCAACACACCTAAAACAAACTGCGCATCCTCGGGGGATTCGCAGGTCTTAATCATTGAAATGCGGAGTTTTTCAGCAAACCCAAGAAACTTATTGGGGATCAAGATATGCAGCAAGGAAGAATATGATTGAACACTTGGTTTAAAAGATGGAATGCAGGAAAGATAGTTAAAGAAGTTGAGAGCCGTTTGGGGATTGAGATTGGGAAATTGGGAATAGAAATTGGCAAGATGGTTTGGAGTTAAAATTGGAATTAGTTTTTTGAGAGATGGGTGTTTTTGCCAATTGGGATTGGACAGGAGGGAGTAGAGTTTGGTGGAGAGGTCTTGTACAGGAGGATTAATATTGGGTTCTGGAGAAATGATGGGGCGCAAAGAAGGGGCAATGGAAAATGGGTGCTTGGAAATGAGAGGAGATGGACCTGGCTTGTTGAGATGGTTGACAGTGGCAGTTGATCTTATAATCATGGTGCTAAAGGATCGGACAGCGCAAGTGAGAGAGTTCTTCCAGACCATGGAATTGGCATCTGGGAAAAACAAATACATAAAGTAAGTTGAGAGCAACGCAAAATCCATAAAGGAACATTTCAAACTCAACATCATACTCTACTTATATAGCGCACAAATAAAACTGAGAATTAGTTGTGTTAAAAGAATAAAAAAGAGACAGCTAACCAAATGAGACTAACATACCAATTTAAAAGCAATTCCACACCAGAAAAGACTGTCTTGAGCAAGCAAAAGAGCCAATACCCCTAAATAAGTCAAGTCCGAATACTAGTACGGTAAGAGAAGAACTGTACCGTAGGCAATTCAAAAAATGTGAAATTCATCACACTCTCTAAATTGTGACAAACAAAATATCTGATTCATGAATTTTACATACATGCAAAACATCCTAAATGCCAAACTTCCAATCTCAGAATTACTTCTAATAAGGAAAAGGTGTACAAGTTCTACATGTTTTGAGAATGCAGGTTTTTGAGACTGTAAGAAAGAGCTGAACATTGGTACAAGGTCCAATCTTGCTCTATAACAGTACCACCAGCTGAAAGCCAAAATCAATTACCACAAAATAATCATAGACAAAAAGCCTAAACTTGCCTTGAACATGCTGTGCTAATAAAATCTAAGAGAAGAAGCAAAAAATTTTAAATAGCAAATGTAAAGTAAAACTTTTTATACTAAAATAAGGGATGTTATTTATCTATAATTATATATTCGTTTTATACTAACCAATTATACTTGTCATAAAATAAACCTTAGACCCAACCAAAAGCACTATTTGAATGTTTGCAATACCAAGTGCATAAACGCCGATCACAATCCCAATGACTTCTTTCCTGGTTGAACCACCATCCCTACCACCTATAGGAATACTCTTCAAGACCTCTTTATGCATGTCTGAAATGACGCTGTCAGGAAAGAACTCAATGGCAACCTTTCAGTAGTCCTCGTTTCCAGCCACCATGTCATCATTTTCTTCTTCTTTGCTCGGGGTCAGGCCTGCTGCAACAATTAATCAAGACTTTTAATAGCCCGGTCCACTTGTTCCCTGGTCGGAGGAGATGCACACTTTAGACATAGATATAAGATGTTATTGAAGTGTCACATTATTTTAGACCAATACATATAATATAACCACCAGTGGTTTTAGTTTTTATTTTTTATTTTTAAATAATATAAACTAAAAGCAAAGAGGAAAAAGAAGAAAGGACCTAAAATGGGACTTTGGAAATGTGACGATCAATGACCCGGTATAATCTAGGAAAAGAATTTTTCAAATATTTGGAGTCGCCATTCAAAATTGGACCCTAGGTACAACGTGTCAGCTAGAAATTCTATCAAAAAACAAAATTTTTATTTTTTGAGACAAAATTCTTTAATTAGACTATTCCTCCTTTAAAAAGATAAGATAAAATAAACTTCAGTTGAGAGGAAGGAAGGTCAAGATTTCAACCACGAGCACCTTCCCATAAACCCCACAACCAACAATTGCTAAGCATAAACAGAAACCCAACACCCTACAAAAGTTTTTTGAATGGATCACAGACAAATTAGCAAATACGCCAACTTCGGTTCCTCTTCCTCTTTTATTATTGTGAGCCGCTTTATCTCCTTTGAGTTTGACCATGTAATCAGATTTTACTTTAACCATGAAATCTGATCCATCAACTGAACTTGTAATTTGGCAATTCCAAAGAGAAGACAGGAGGAATGGTAATATACCATAGAGTTTGAAGGGATCCATTGTGGTGTGATTTGTAGTAGTTGTAGGCAAAGGTTGTTGGGAATTTGAGAGCAAGTTATGGGAGGAAGGGGTTGATGGATGAGAATGGAGTGACAATAAGCGAAACAGAATCATCGTCATTGGCTGAGGCTTGTGAGCAGGAGAGCTTGGGTTTCTTTTTTTTTTTAATCTCATTTCATTATAATGTGTATTATCTATTAAGCGAAGGTCATTATAGTCATTTTATTGTGACAAGGGAGGTCAGTGTAATTTGTAAAACCCGAGGGGAGTGAAATTGTCATAAACCTCAAGGGAGGTTTGTGAAACTATCCCATATAAAAGTAGTACTTAGGTAACAGACGTCTGTGATCTAAGAGTCACAGACACCAATCTTTTCAGTTGTTCATAATTTCAAAAAGAAACCCAACAGTTTTGTTAATCAAAAATAGACCAGACCACCCTACCTCTCACGAGCAATGTCTCCAGGACTTGTGTCATTCTTCCTCTTCCTCACCCAAATCACCTATTTTTCACCCTGCTTGTTGCCTGCCACCTTTTCTCCTCCCACTCGTTCCCACTTTCGTACCCTCTTCCAAGTCCAAATCCAAATCCCATATCATCAATCTGCAAACCCCAAATGGCCATCTCTATTTTATCTTCTATTCATTACTCGCAACCTCTCCTCCCTTTTAATACCTTCCAATTTTCCATGCTGATCTTGATGTTAACCGCATGATTCATGATCAACTGGCTGTATATTACATGCACATGCTTTGAAAAAAAGAGTGATTTTGGGATGAAGGTATTTGTTTGATTGAAAAGTTTACTAGATACGTGCAATTTGTGGTGTTCCCTTGTTAATTTTGATTTCACAAGTAGTCCATAAAATCATGGAATTAATTAGCCATTGGACACAATTGTGGCAGAAATTGTGACAGTATTGGAGTAATGGATAAGGTAAGAGGAAGGGTGTTAGAGAAATCAGAACTAAGGAGGAAACCTTTTCTGTTGCACATTGAACTAGACAAGCTGGTTGCCCATTGGTGCTCCTTGCCAACTAATCATCCGTACCTCACAATGAAGTAGCGGACTGTAATTTAACCTTTCTCCGTAAACATATGGTATCCATGATGAAAGATATGGCAAATTAGCCATAGGTAACCATAAATTCGTAGCTATCTTGGTCTAACTTCAATGGACACATATGCAGATGGGATGACAAAGAACTGCCACTTTTGGTGATTTGATTCCCATAACTAACCTAACTCTAGAAGATGAAGGAAATGAACCATAAAAATTAAGTCTATCTTCTACTTGCAATCACTTTTATTTTTCGAAGGCCAAAGAAGCTATTGCAGAAAGAGACTAAAATATTCAAGAAATTCCCAATTACTTACAAAAGCATCAAAACGTGATCTACTACACTCGTTACACATCAAAAGGTACAAGTACAGCTGCAGCCGCACATTAAACCAGAAAACATATGGAAAGCTACTGCATTTCCAACATCCGTAAAAACAAAATGCACCAGGTTTTTAACAAAATGACAAGTTCTAAGAAGCACTAATAAGGGATCTTCTCATCTATCTGTGCTTGATAAAGCCCTCTATTCAAATTGTCCCAAGGAAGCAACCCAAAAAGTAGCAACAACACTTGCTTCTACTTTAAGAATACGACATGCACTTAAAAGTTCTTAATTGGTGCACAAGTTTGTGGCCTCATAAGGAGGTTTTGGGAGCTCTAAATATAATTATCTTTATCATTGAGATGTAAGTAGACTAATTTGTCTATCAGAACAGTATTCTCATTACTAACTAATATGATACAGCATAAGTATCAACCCCGATCTTGACGCCAACGAGGTTTAGGAAGCATTAAAAACAATCATTCTAATGATCCTGAAATGTAAATCGACAACCTTTGTACCAAAAACATTAATCTCCCCTAAATCCGAGGATAAAACCATATTTATAGTGCAAAAAGACATTCTCTTTGACTTCAATCTAGGCGCCATTAGGCAGGTAGAAAACATTTTTTCGACATTTTCCCCCAAAAAACTATCTTCAGCATTTTAAATTGAAGCATAAAATACATATAACAAGTGATAAATTTTCTTGACATTCATAACAAATAGCTAGCAAATCAAACCCAAAAAAGAATAAAAAACAAAAAACCAAACTTTCCCATGGAAAGCACTTCCAAAAAAAAAAAAGAAGATAGAAACATAATACCATTTTAAGCTAAAACCAAAGGATTCATCCCGCAATTTTGTCTAACAAACCTGAATTTCCTCAAAGTTTTCTCTAAAGATTAATTAAATATCAATTAAGCAAAGATGAGGAATGAAACACTACGAAAAGGGAAAGAGAGAAGATAGAAATGAGAAAAGGGAAATGAAAACTTACCATGGCTGGGGAGGATTCAAAATCGGAGGAAATAACAATGGCTCATTATTCCAACAGAAAAGAAAGGCTGCGATCTGATTGGCTCAAAAGGAATTAGGATTTGGAGGGAAAAATTAGGGCTTTTGTAGAAGCAGATGAATACCGAGGAGGAGGAGCCTTGGGGATAGGACGGCCAGTTACGTTTGCCAGCCAATACTTCGAGCTTGTTTGGAGCTGCTTTAAAAATGCCGGATTATGTTGCATTTGCCTCCACTATTCTTTACTTAAATTAAAGTTGGAGACCCTCTAATTTGCAAAATTATCTTTAGACGGCTTGTTGAGAGTAGCAATAATTGGATTTTATGAGTCGGGTTTTAATAAATTCACGACAACTCAAAAAAAAAAAAAAAGTAAAAGATTCAAGTTTTCAAATTTACATTATGAGGTTCATATTGAACTCATAAATATACTGGGACTTCGACCTATTTTAGACTCGACTTATCAATACTAAATATATTATTTTTATTTTTATTTTTATTTTTATAAATATATATCCAAAACATAAACTATATATATTATCATTAGTGTAGACACCAAAATTTTACCATTTTATTTATTCATTTTAGTTAAATTTTATTTTATTTTAATTTATTTTTTCATTTTTTTTTTTTTTGAGAAAAATCATTTTTAGAAAATCAGAAAAAAAGAGAGAAAACAAAAGAAAAGAAAACAAAAATCAGAAATCAATTTTGAAAAAAAAAAAATCTCTTCCACGGCACGTGGTTCATCACCATCATACCAACTCACAAGCAAGAAATAGTACAAGAAATTCCAGCTACCATTTTGGGTCCGATTTCCTCTTGAATCCCGCTCCATTTTCCGCCTTTTCAAGTCTTCCAGTACAAGTGCCAGATCAACTATCAAATTCTTATCCAAAACCCATCATCTAATAGTTCAAAATCAACCCCTAAAAGCTAACTCATCCCCATTGTTGCTCCCAGGTTTTGGGGGGGGGGATTTGTGCCATATAAATGGCTGAAGATGCAACCATTAAAAGAGGAGAAAAAGAGGAGAGGCGGTGAAGCAAGAAAGAAAACAGCAAAAAGAGAGAAAATGAAGAGAGGAAGAGCAAGAGAAAATTCTGCAAAAATTTCGTGACCAGGCTAGTTCACTAGCCTAGTTCTGTCTCGAATTCCGACGTAGATTTTAGGTTTTTGAGAGGACTCTTGCTTTTCTGCACTTTCCTATGGTGCAGCAGAATAACTTTAATTTAGGAATCACTTTGAAAAAATGCCTCCAAGTCAGTCAAATTGAAGCTCAAAGTAGCTGATTCATCAACGCTGCAGTTTCTGTGACAAAATTTTGCTGGGTATCATTTCACAAATTAGCATGCATTTTTTAGAGTATCTCACGTCCATTCCACCGTGCAAGCACTCTCAGGTAATCATGACTCCTCTCCTTGCTGATTTAACACGTTTTTCACAAAGATTTAAACCCATTGGACATGAACTCTTGCACTTTTGCTGCTGGTGCCATTTTCTCGTTTCATTGGCTTTGTCATGCTTGTTTCCTGACGATTTATGATTCAATAATGGCCATTTAGAAGCCTGATGAAATCTCATTGAAACCAAGAAGAGTCCAAGATTAGAATGTTCATTTTTAGAACCATGAATTGGGATGTTTCTAACTTTCTTTCAACCCAGTAGTTAAACATATGGCATGATCATATTCTGAATCTTTGTGTTTAGATGTCAAAGTTTTTATGTTGAAAAGGGATAAAGGGGGCTTTGTGATCTTACTGCTTTGATCTAGATCTTGATTAGTTGAGACATTAGCTTGCTGCGTTCCTACTGCAACTTTCTGGGTTTCTCAAATGCAATCTTCTTTCGGAAGAGCACGACCACCGGGCACTGTTCTCTACTCAACCCAATAGCACTGTTCATCCTGGTGGGGCAGCACTCTTCCGAGCGGCCTGTGGCCTTCGGCCAGGTGGCAAAAAAGTACAGCGGGGAACAGAAAGGGCCCGCCCTATTGGCCATACAACCCAAGTCCTGGGTTGCCCTTTCTCTCTCTTCCTGAGATCAAGTCCGAACCGTCCATTCTTCGAATGGAAAACACGTGGACACCCTATCCACCGTCCACGTGTCGCCCCGAGCGTACCTTTAGTTTTATAAACAAACTAGTTTTGTACCCGTTCATTGAACGGGAATTGTCGAAAAAAAATAAACTATTTAGTCAATTTTATAAAAATGTCGATATAAAATACAAATTTAATGTATAATCTATTATAACTTGTCTTAAGTATATTACTATATGTGAGCATTGTAATATAAAGTATTCTTATAATATAAATTTGAACGTCTAATTCAGTGAATAATAATTCAAAAATGGAAAAAATAACATTCAACAATACCATAGCATTCAAAAACTTGAAAATAAATAAAAAATGCAGTAAATAGTATCAAATAATATTCTATTCTTCATAAACTTGTTTTTGTTTTTCTTCTGTTTAAACATTCTCCTCGATTTGTCTGTGCAACTCAGCATCTTGCAATCCCTCAATTTTACCACTAACCAACCTTCTCCTGAATAAACGTGCTTCAAAACAATTAAACAAGCAGTTTATGAATGATCAAGATTGAGGCTACTTGGTGATCCAGTGGCTAATAAGATACTAGTGAAACTTTCATTGCCACGTGAAACACTACCATAGTTGGCCAAAATTACATTATAACTAGTCCAAAACAATGTTCACAAGTTACTGTTCCTTCCTGCATGGACATTTTTTAATTAGTATAAGATAAGAATATGGCTCTATATGAATTAGGCCTTTTTAAGGGTGTTTTAAAAAAAACGTTACTATAATGGTGTATATGAACTATTGTAGACAAATTGTTTAGATTTGGTGTTTTTTAAAATGCATTTTGGGCTGTTTTAGAATTTAAAATTTTACTGCGGTATTTTTCAAAATTTAAAAACTTTTCATCCCTCTTTCTCCTCCTCTCTCATCCCTAGCCTCCATCTCCACCACTAGCCTCCTCCTCTTCTCTCATCCCTCCTCCCCTCTTCCCTTCTCCTCTCTTTTCCCTCCTTCTTTAATGCTACTAGAGATGGGTGAAAGAAGGACGATGGGATATGAGAGAGGGAGAGAAGGAAAGAGGGAGAGAGAGAAGAGATGAGGGAAGAGAGCGGAGAGACGAAGGGAAGAGAGAGAGAGAGAGAGAGAGATAGTGGTGTGTGAAAGAAGAAATATGGTGATAATTTATTTTATTTTCATTGTTTTAATGTATTTAAGTGTGTTTTTGGAGTTGTTTTTTGTAATTGTTTGTGGAGTTACTGTGGACCACACAAACAAAAGTAGTTTTGGAGAAAAAGAGGCAATCTATACTGAGCTTATAATACTTTTGTAATTTGCAAAACTTTCAAATAAAATTTGGAATATTAACTCTATGTATTTCAATAGCTTACTAAATTTTGTCCCATTAAAATTAAACCTTCATACTTTTGGATCTTGTTTTAAATTATTATCAATATAGTCAAGTTTTTAAAATTACCATGTATAGGAGATTGTGTTCTAATTCCCGTCTTCCTTTATTTGTATATATTAATAAAAATGAAGGACTGGTAAAAAACAGTTTTTATACTAAAGACTAAGACAACAAAAGAGTAAATTTGGAATGAGAATATATTCTATCTCTCACAAAATGAGTTTTTTAATATTATATTTTGAAATGGATTTCAAATGTTACAAAAAGCTTAAAATAAAGGAGGCAAGTGAGATTTTTCAAAATTAGTGCAAGTGATGCAAAAATTATCCCAAAATGTAAAAGAAGCAATAAATTAATTAGGTCTTTATTCCCCACGTGCGGCAAGGTGTCTGTATTGGATAATAATTGCTTTAATACTCATATATACAAAATGGCAACAAAAAGAGAAAAACAATTGTAAACAAATATATATACTTTGTTCATAGCACAACATGAAATCAAGTGTTAAATTAATTACTTTTACCTCCCTTGTAATGCATTCAAATTACTAATACATCCCGAGGTTTAGAAAATAACAATCATTCCCTTTGCCTTAACAAATGGCGGACGGTGTTAAGTTTTTAATGAGTGGACAAAAATATCCTCTCCCAAAACAAAAGGTTTAGCACCTCAAAAATTAAATAAAGATTGAAAAGTTCTAGAGATAGTCCAAATAAGTTACTTGTCAAGTCTTCCCCCACCAAATCTCTTTATTTGACAATTCCATCAATATAAGGAGAAATCATATCTATATTTCATATACATATCTCGAGATTATAGTGTCAAAACTATGTGTTAAGCAGATATAACTTATTTATAGCACTCTTATGCATCTGAATACCTCAATCCTGAGTTAAAGTGTTTATGATTCCCATATCCCCAAATATCAATGAAAGCTTGTAGTATTTTGCAATAATATTCTAGTCATAGAGCCTTTTGTTTGTCGATGATAATTTATATCATCTTATACCCACCATTATAGCAGCTTCATTCAAAATGGGCAACATGACATTTAATTGAAAGAATAATATTATACAAAAAGGGGTCAATTACTATTTTAGACATACTAAAGTTATCTTCAAATCATATAAGAAAATGATTAATCTTTCCTACACTGACAGTGTATATATTATCAGCGTTGGATAATTGACAACTATGCAAAATTTGAATTTGAAATTCAACTTTTGCACACATGTCATGAATCCAATGATGATAGTGTATACACCATCAGTGTAGAAAAGATTTACT